CCCCAAAACCCCAAAACCCCAAAACCCCAAACAGCATAGGTTTACGTTTAATCTTAATTGCATATTTCGAAAGTAAAATAAATATTGCGAAAAAGATGAAAGTCAATGAACAAAGAATAAGGATCAAGGCAATCTATAAAAGCATGAATGATCCCAACAGGAGCATTGGAATGAATTCAGTGACGTCTAGCAGACTAGGCACTCGTGCTTATGATGACCCATCAGGCAGGGTTAACACAACTCAGGAGCAGAGTATTTTTAAACCGGCAAACAGATGAAATGATTTAGGCACTGCTACTAATTTAACCTAGTCTAAAAACAGAGATAATGTTAGCACCAGAGGGGGTATGTCCTTTGGAGGGAGGTCGGAATTCGAACACCTGGAACCACCTTTTCTAATCTTACAAGATTAGGAGTCTTTGAATCACTTCATGTCTAAGTAGCGCAAGATGGTGAGTTCAGTAAGTTCCAAGTACCTCAATTATAATCCATTGGGCAAAAACACACAAAACATTGGTGATGGAGTCTCTACTATCAGAGGGGAAAACGACAGTCCTAATAAAATTGGGAATTACAACGAGTACCAGCATATCTACAATGATCATCAATGCAATGAGGCCAATGTTGCTTGGATTACTCAACTAAGGGAAAAGGAAAATAAAACATAGCTTGGCCAATCTAAGATTCTAATCGATAATGACAAGTAAAGTACCATCCATGAGTAAGCTTGAGAAACAATTATAATGCTTCTTGTAGGTCATCCCCACCAAGTGTTTATTATAAGAGCAATGGTGAGAACTGTGTAAAGAGAGTGACTGACTTTGAGTACAAAGGGAATCACTTAGATGTATGCAGCTAGTGTATATTTATATTCTATAGGTTACACATTTGACAACTAAGAGAATAGGTCCTACTCCCAACATAGGCCAAGTTAACTTTGAGACTAGTCTGAGGAAGTATCTATCCTAAAAGGATTTGAAATCAAGCATCATTGAGGAATCTAAGAGAGATCCTAGGGAAAGAACAAGTTAAGATTAAATAAAAAATGAAAAAGCCTATTACACTAACAATAAAAATAGCAACTCAAGTTCGCTTGAGAGAGCTGAAAGCAGCAAAGATTTTGTGACTATCTTTCCCAAGTAAAAGAGCATTCTCTCTTAATATGCTCCGACATTCCTCCCACCTATTGGACCTGCAGCTAAAAGATAATATGATAAGTTAGATGTCATACTTGAAAAGACCAAAACTTTAGTAAAGGGATTGCACAAGAAGCCAGAAGCATTGTAACTAGTGTCATCTTTGTAAGGAATTATACCTTTAATAATTCTATAGTGAAGGTTTTCACAAGTCGATGCCAAAGTTTACTGATAAGATAGAGACTGCTCACGACTACAACTAAATTAGGCATCTAATGAAAGCCAATAAAAAGATGTCTTAGGTGCTCTGGGAGCTGAGTTTAAGACCAGATGCACATAAAAAGGATGAAATTGAGGAGAATAGAAGAAAAGAGCAAGCACTATTGCACAGAAAGAACATACAGTACTTCTCTGAACCTAAGAGAAGATCGAAGCCTCAGAATAATTTGCAAAGTCAGTACAAAGAAATTGAGTGATGAGCATTACTGTTGCTCAATACTTAGGTTGAGTTAGTACAAGCAACCACATTTTTAGATTTATAATGCAATATTCAAGCCACACTCCCTCACACTTAAAAATACTTTTAACTCTAGAATTATTTTCCCTTAATTTTTAAATTCTAAATATATAAATATTAATAAAATGATGTTTTATAAGCCACAACTATTCTTGAGACATCTCGCTTGCAAATAGCTGCCTCTCAGATTCATAAATTTCAACAACTTGCCAGCAGTTTAGAGAATGCAAAGTTTTTACTAAGCACCTCAGAGAAGCTTTGTCAAGTCGATGGAAGACAGAAAGGAAGAACAGGAGATAAAGGCTTTCCAAGACGATATTACATATTTCCTCAGCAAAGAGTCATTCAGTTTACACGATTTCCATGAAAGAGTTCTAGTACGCATTCTTATATATTCTTAACCATATAATAACTGTTTAACTATAGCATGGTCTGAAGTAAAAATCAACCTTCAAGGTCATGATCTGGGGAGATGATGCAGAAATGAAGATTCTTGAGAACCAAAATAAGATCTGTAGTGCTATGCATGATGAGGAAAAGAATAACTCCAAGTCTATTTCAATGGATTAGAAGAGAGAAATAGCAGAGACTTGCCAGTTACAGCTGAGCGATGTTTAGGATGTGCTTCATAAATACATGCAGATGCAGCAGTTCCATCTTTGGCTCAAGGGAAAGCAATAGAGAAAGGAACCGATGCCTGAAACCAGAGATGATCTGATGGCTATGTATAAGATCGAGAGACCATCATTCTTAATGCCAAAAAAGCATCAGGGTGGCTCTTAAAAGAGACAAATGAAGTACTACTTGAGAAGACATCGTACATGAATAATGAGAAGATAGATAGATGTTAATTGAAATTTAGATATATTAATGATTTAACAACACAGAGTGAATTATCTTATTTACTTAATATACTTCGCAATTCTATACAACTAGCATGTGCAAGCATATCTCAGAAGCAGTCTCTCTACTTTATATATAATAAACATTCCATGCAGGTTTTCATCACAGTTCTTCTGATCCCTGACACTACTGAGATATGCATATATTAGGATAGATTGTGTTCATTCACTCTATGTTGTCGAACTTGACAACTGATATGTCGTCTTCATCGTCAAATCCCTCGAAGTCGTTCTCTCTTGAATCATTTAGATTTCTCTTACGATTCTACTCATACTTCCTTATATTTTTCTTCAGGGAATCTGATCTGCCTCTGTTTGATAGCCGAGCGTTCTAGCTTATCTGCTTTTATAGACCCTCTACACCGATCTATAGGTTACCAATCTGATCTTTGAACTCTTCATAGCCGATTTCATTAGCACTGTTGTTATTGTATTGCATTTTGCTACCTGAGTTGCTGTGGAATTGCTGTTATTATTTGATATTTGAATTACCAAATCGGTAATTACCTTAGTATTGGTTTTGCTACTATCTAGCCTATGGGGTTTAGATCTATTAATATAGATTCAAATCCCCATCTGCCAAATCAAGTGCTTTTAATTCATAGTGTTCTATCATTTCTTGCTCTGTTCTGAAATTTTTATTTATCTTACTAACAGGTACCAATTACCTTTTCTTTGGATTTAGAATTTGAGCTGAACCGATAGGAGGAACTTCAAAATCACTGACTACTGATTCATCCATCCAACTCTCATTGTTTTCAGAGGTTACTTAAGGATTCATTGGTATTTGGTTCTAGGTAAAAAGCATATGCTTTATCTATTCTATTTAATCATTTACCTTCTTAATGTCTTTATTAAGATTGCCTATGTTATTCTCAATTCTAATGGTTTTGATGTCATCTTCAGTAATAAGAAAGCTTGAATTATCGAGATTGTTGTGAGGTCTATTCTGCCCTCCTGGAGAACTAAGATACAACTAATCATCATTCTTAAACAATGGTGAGAATTCTTTGGAGTCATTGAAAGTTCTCTTTGACTGCTTATCAATTGATAGTTTCGACAGTCTTGACCTGTTAGTGTTCAAACAATTTAATTCCTAAATAAAAGTATCCTCATTTCTAGAATGCTAAATCATGAAGGGTTAAATAGCTGAAACGTTCGCTAAATTTTTCTCCATCAGCTTTATTGGGTCAGTAAATTCAACTGTTTCATCCATATTGTTGAAAAATAATTTTCTACCTTAAGTCTTTTAAGCATCGATCTGTGAGTTTTGACTGTCAATGGGTGCTGAATCAATCTTCTTAATCTCTATTTTGTTAAATCTAGAAGCAAGTTCTTCCTCCAGTTACTACCTATCAAACGGCTTCTAGCCAAAATCAATTTGAAGTTCTTAAATATAAGCATTAGTCTTCTAATTATGGGCTCTAAATGGAAGCCAAAAGGCTAGTTTATGATCAAGCAGTTTCTGATCCAAATGAAAAGCAAGTATTTTAATTGCTTTTTACTTAGCTTAGGATATTTTTGGCTATTATTGGACAGCAAATGATTGACTGGCTGTTGTTGGCTGTCTAGAAATGTGATTATCCTGAGGATTACTAGTACCCTTGATGCTAGACACGTTCTTGGAGTTTCCTTGCGATGAATGAGAATCTTGAGCATTTGATTTCTCATGTATAATGGATAGTTAATGTTCCTTTATTTTACTGAATGATTAAAATTTGTGAGTCTTTAATTTATCCTGGATCAATCCAATCAATTTGATGAGCTAAACACTTTTCTTCATATTCTACTGTTGTCTGTGTTTAAAATGAGTCCATGAATCTTTTTTAATCACTTAGAAAGTTTTACGAACTTAGTTATTCAACCATTTCTTAATGAGACTTGCTGCAATTTATTGTCTTTTTTATATTTTCTGTTCAAGAGAGTATTGCTCAACTGGGATCATTTGCTGTTGCTGATGAATCCCAAAATTTTAGTTATAACCCTAATTGATTGCTTGAATAGTTTTTTTATCTTAATTACTCTAGACAATTTTCTTGTAATAGCTATTGCAAGCCAGCATTCTAACACCAGCTCCTCCGGATAACTTATTTCTTCCGAAGCCTCCCCTGTTAGGAGTATGATTGTTTTTAAGTTGTCTATTTGTGTTCGCACCGCTTTTGACTCCATGCGTAGGAAATCCATCTCCGAATCTCTATGCCCTGCCCCGACTAGTATAGTGTTCACGTTCAGTTTGTTAAGTTTAGAGTCTTCTATCTTGAATATTATTTTATTGCATGATGATTTGCGGAATTTACTCTTATGAAATTCCTAAGGCTTTCTTACTATTTCCTATCCCTTAAGTCATCATAAACATAGGGTCTATCAAACTTGGCTGCAATGGAGTTGCCTTCATAGTATAAGGATTGATAACATTGGTTATCTTGATTTCGTACTCACCCTAGCCTTGGATTTAAAACTTTTAAGAATAGACAAACATCATGTAGGGTCGATCTTAAAGTGCTTATGACTAAGCAATGCCAGCTTGTCTTAATTATTAGGGTGGTTGATTTAATTGGAAAGAATGGCCAGGGTTTTACTGGTGTTTGTATTGATTTCGAGGCGCCTGCATCCTCATATGAGCTTAGTTTAGATTGGCTGAATTTTAAAGGTCATTCATGCTGTTTGAATGCCGCATTGGTTTGAGTTTAGATATCATGTTTGTTATAGAGTTCTGAATTGTCTCTGTCATTTGATTCAGAGTATTCATCTCCGCATTGTAATTTATATTTAAAAGTTTATTATTATAACTATTATCAATCTCTATTATGATCATTATTATAATATATTAATGAATCACGGGGTTTTGGGGTTTTGGGGTTTTGGGG